ATATTGTAGAGGTTTACTCCTTTTAGAAATAAAGTCAGACTATCATATTGGAATAAATATGTAAAATTCGATCACCCAGCCACACTTTGAACTGCACTCTAAGCTTCTAAAACTTCTTTTATTAAATGCATTTTTATAACAATGACTTGTCTTAGAAAATCAGAGAACAGCTCATATGACCCTAAGGTATAGGGTAGACTTCAGCACCTTAGGGCTATGTGAGATGATTTTGAAAATTGGGAAAAAGCATTTTGTACTGCATTGGGCACATAGGTCCACGAAAGCAGAGAAGAATAGGCCCATGAAAGAAGAGATGTTCTCACAGAAAGGAAATCAGTGTTGGCCTGAAATGGGCTTCATATGGACAACATAGAGGCTCAGATCATTGGATTCCATATACTGAAGTTTTAGAAGCTTAGTGATGGTAATTCATTTTCATCTGTCAATCAACAGGCATATACTGAGTGACACCTGTACACAAGACCCCGGATTTAGGTACCCGGGGCTCGTGGTATATTGGCAGAATTAGTGTGTGTGTGTGTGTGTGTGTGTGTGTGTGTGTGTGTGTGTGTGTGTGTGTGATAAAAGAAACCTTGATGCTATGTACAGACGAGGGCTACACTGAGAAGTTAGAATTAGTCAAAGAGCTACCCTAGGGCAAACATGTCCTTGACAAAGACAGGCGGTAGAGAAAGAACGTTGTGATTATATATAGCAAATGTTACATTCAATGATGGATGACATGCCCTTTCCCAGATAACAGCAATAGGTCAGGGCGAACATATCTGGAAGTTTTAGAAGGTTAAAAGGCTTCGCATTTCATGTACTTAGAAATCGCTAAGAGGATAAAAAATTACTCCCTAAGAGATAAACGCCTACGTATATGTAATTCAGTAAGATTAAAGAGTCCCAAAAAAGAGGTAAAATGCCATCTTAATTTTTCTCTATTTTCTCATCATTTCTCACGAAGTAAAAGAAAGGAAAATGTAAGCTTTTCCCTCCGTTTGAAGTCAAAGCCTAACTGTAGCTCAGACGTGTAGAGCCCACACTCAGGATATTTGCATCTTTGTCCCAGCATTGTCATTTATTTATAAACTGGTTTCTTAGAGTGGTTAACGTCTCTGAAGATCAATGATAGCAAAATATTTTGGTCTCGTGTCATATTATCCATATTTTCTGTGAAGTTGTAGTCTGGTCACTGTCTCATCAGTAGGAATGTGTCACTCCAACTTCATCCTAAGCACGCTGTGTGAAGTTTGAAAGAGTTTTGTACCAAATAATCAGAAAGTTAACAAAACACAAGGTAAACAAATTCAGATTGCCCACTTAATTCAATTTATTGCCAAAAAAGGACTAAAGTTCGTGAATTGAATGTAGGCGTTGTTAATATACTTTAAGTATTTCTAGCCTGTTTACTTATTAGGCAACAAAACCAACATTCTTAGAAGTGCCTATTTTATCTTGTCTAATTCGTGTTTCTGCACACATAAAAAAGAGTCAAGTCAGCTGTCGAAATCAGTTCTACATGAATGTGCCCTTTGAAATCTGTTTCTTATCTGGATACAGACTCTGGCTTTAAGTATACAGTGGTGGAGAATATAGGTGACGCTGGATTTTCTATACTACAGAATGAAAAAATAATATTGCCTAAAGCTAGGACTCAAAAATACCAAGAGATGAGACTCTTCTTATTGGTACCATTAACTTGGGGTTATTTAATTTTCCTATACTATAGGAATGGTACAGTGAAGAGTGACTTCATTTTCTGACATTTTTGACACGATTTGGCACTTCCGTGTTCATTGGTGAGCCATAGATTATTGTGTCATCTGGGTGCCTAGAAACTCCGAGTGAGCCATGTTCTAGAACTTTGAAAGTGACCAGTAAAGAATTGGCACTGATAATATAACAGTTCTGGAACTATGTGGTTTTAGGGTGAGAAAGTCTTGACAGGTAAGATTTCTCCAGTCCTGTGAACCATAAAACTTCACTTCAAAACTTCTAAATGCAATTCCTTGTGTCTTCTAGTGTATCTTCTTTTGTAAGGCACTAACACCTATATTTTTATCATAAAGCTAGGATTTAAAAGCTGAGAGATAAGGCTCCCCTCAGGTGGGGCACTATATAGTACTTTAACATAGAAATATTTAGAATCCACTTCTGCTTTGAAAGATACCAGAAGCAAGTGATACTAAAATGAGTAGATTCAAAGTTGTATGCTAAATAGAGGCCTTGGCCAGTGAGAATGAGGGATTTTCAAATATGGTCCAAGAAGATAGTCTCTGAAGGGCTAAACCAGCCATGGGTCATAGTCATGCAGGAAGCCAGTGCTGTCTAATCTTACAGATTCTGTTTTCCCGCCAATTGGCATTTAGGAGCCACTGATAATTTATTTTCTTGGCACTTACTGTTATTGGAGATTTCTTTGGTTTCTAAACTCTTAACAAGAAAGCAAATCTTTGTTGAGGGCACAATTTCAATATGGCAAAGCTCGGACAAGGATTTTATGACATGGGAAAGACCAGCAAGAATGGCTTAAGAAGAGTGATTTTCCACAAGCTGTCACTGTGACAGATACTTTTGTCTACAGACACATAGGCAAAAGGCAGTTTAAAAGCTGGCTTACGTAAACAGTGCTTAGTTCAAGGAGATAAGCTCTCAGTTCATTGTGTCTCTACTTTTTGATTCTAACCCAGTTACATAAGGGAACATCCCAGTTTGCTTTTTAGGGAAAAGTGCAAGTAAGAACCATTCTCTGGTCTTGCTAAGTCTTGTAACTGTAACACAACTGTTCCAAGCAACTGTCCTTGCACAAGAATGTCACCCATTTGCTTCATTTGCCAGCTCTCTGGAGATGAGAGGGGTCTGCCTGTGTCAGCAGAAGGCAGAAGGCCCTGTGCCTTGTCCCGTGGGCTGATTTCCTTTGTTTGGAGGCTGGCTTCAGAGACTGCTGGGGTTCTGAGTGAGAGTTCACCAGCCTTCGCCCAGGCGGGTTCTGAGATACAGGGTGTGGTTTCCTTAGCTCACTCTCTGCTATTTGGTTGCCTGTGGCAACAGGATCCAAACAACTTGGACATGTGTTTGTATAAAAAAAAAAAAAAAACAACCCTGGGAATGGAACCCAAAGTGGGAGTCTGGGCTGTTCAGTTAGTGGAAGCGCTGTGGTGAGTACCGGGCAACTGCTCATTTGTTTTCCCTCATTCTTTCTCTCAAAATTACACTCTAGATGTTTGTTAGCACAATAACCATGTTTGTAGATAGTTGGAGAAAATAGTCTTGATGCTTGGTTTCCTGTGCAAATGAAATAACTGCTGTCTATTTATCCGTGTAAATTTCTTTTTCGGGGGGAGAAGAACAAATTAGCATATGTTTAAAGAAGTTGAGAGCTAGTGGAAACTCACATTTGGTACCTGTTTGGTGGCAAGATTCTGTAGGAAATGGCCTGACAAAGTGGGCAGCAGAGTGCCTTAGCGTGTTGTATGTGTGTTTTGTGGGGCCACAGCCCTGGAGGAGGCCGGGGAGGAAACGTAGGTTGATCATATAAAGAGAACGGAAGGGATTCTTGGAATAATCAGCCTAGCTAGCACTTTTTAAATGTCATTTTCTCTAGACTGTACTTTAAAATTGCAATTTTAAAAATAGCAAATGTCCTGGGAGGTAACACTGGTAACACTTCCTTGAATATATTGATCCTCACTTGCTTGACCCAAGGGGGGTTTGATTTCCGTCACAAAACCACACATCACTGTGACAAATAATTCACAGTTGTGAAACTTGTCTGTCCCAATTGGGAATGCCATTTTTATAAATTCTCTGTCGCTATATTGCTCAGGCTTCAAAAGTGAGTAAACTCTCTTGGACAAAACTCTTTAGGATATATTTAGGGATTACAGACTTTTCTCACAAGTAGATTTCAAGTAAATGTAAACATTTTAAACAAATAAATGAAGATTGCTTATATGCCTAGTGTGGTACCAGGTGAGCTGTTTTTGTTCAGATGAACAGATTTTTATAGACAAGACTGTGAGGCTTCTAGAGGATACTGTCCCACCTAGTAAGTGACCGAGACAGAGCCAAGAGCTGGCAGGGAGGCTTCTAGCTTGCACCATGGTGGGCAGCCCCGAAAGCTGAGGGCCGGCACCTGCCTCCTCCTCCAGGTTGCCTGTGCGACCACCCTGTGAACACCCCCAGATTCTTTCCTCTGAGGACCTGCACCTGCTTTCCTGCTGTCTCATGCTCTTCTTTTGTGTAAAATAATTTCTTCTAGCCGGGCTCGGTGGCTCAGCCTATAATCCCGTGCCTTTGGGAGGCTGAGGTGAGTGGATTGCCTGAGCCTGCGGGTTCGAGACCTGCCTGGGCAGCAAGACCTCATCTCTACAATAAATCAAAAATCAGCCGGGCGTGGTAGCGCATGCCTGTAATTCCAGCTACTCTTGGAAGGCTGAGGCAGAAGGATCGCTGGAGCCCAGCAGGTAGAGGCTGCGGTGGCCGGGAGCGGCCACTGCACTCCAGTCTGGGCGACAGAGTGAGACTCCAACTAAAAAAAAAAAAAAAAAAATTAATTTCTTCTTTCCTGCCTACCCATCACACTCTTACACTGCTTCAGGTCACTGTTCACAGCAACTGCACCTCCCAGAATCTTTCTAGTGACTCCAGTCAGCACAAGCTCTGTTCCAGGTGCCCCCCTCAGTGTCCTTTGTGAATCAGCGCAGTGCTGTATCCCAGCAGGGCTTTCTGCCATTTCCCCGGGGTGTCACTAGCTGAGGGTCTTCTGGTCCCATGGGGTGTTTTCTTCTTGAGATTCATAGTGAAGTATCTGTTGTCTTGGCACCTGGTGGCTAGTTTGGTGGAAAGGGAAGTTAGGCCCTGGCCCCAGACCACATGGACTCCAAGCGTTTTCTTGGCCGTGAGCAGCATTGCACAGGTGCCTCTGGGAGTCTCTATAGCAGGATTCTTGGCTGTTTCCGGCAATCATTTGTTCTGCCTTCTTGCCCCTGCAGGTCCCTCCAGCTACAAGGTGGGCACCATGGCTGAGAAGTTCGACTGCCACTACTGCAGGGACAACTTGCAAGGGAAGAAGTACGTGCAGAAGGATGGCCACCACTGCTGCCTGAAGTGCTTTGACAAGTTCTGTGCCAACACTTGTGTGGAATGCCGCAAGCCCATCAGCGCGGACTCCAAGGTAATGGGCATCCCCACGTGCCAATGGGTTGGGCTGGGCTTTGGAGGGTCATTTGTCCACAACCATGACAGCAACAGCCAGCCATTATGATTTCTCTGTACCACCACCACCACATTGAGGCCTTGCGGAAGGGTCTCTAGCTGTTTAATGTGGGGCGTGGCCTAGATGGACACTGAGACCCTTGCCAGCTCTTTTGGTCATGCTCCAAGTATTTCAGTGTCCCTCCTATTGCTTATAAGAACAGTCACCTGGAGGCAATCCCAGGTGTAAGGAACTGTGCCATCTCCATAGTCAGCCCCGGGGAAATCAGCCTTATAGGGGCAGGCCACTGCCACTGCCCTGGCGACCCTCACAGCGGCTTGCCCTGTTCTGCTCGGTTTCCAGGAGGTGCACTATAAGAACCGCTTCTGGCACGACACCTGTTTCCGCTGTGCCAAGTGCCTTCACCCCTTGGCCAACGAGACCTTTGTGGCCAAGGACAACAAGATCCTGTGCAACAAGTGCGCCACTCGGGAGGACTCCCCCAAGTGCAAGGGGTGCTTCAAGGCCATTGTGGCAGGTACTGCCCCCCTCCCACCTCGGGCTGCCAGGGAGGAGGCCCTGAGGGCAGACGTGATGTGGGCTTGCTTGTCACGGTGGGGCTAACGTTGCTGTGAGCTGCTTTGAGATTTTAGCATATATATGTACACATATACATACACGTATATATGCGTACACATATATGCTCGCACACACGCACACACTCGGAGACTAAAGAACACTGGCGACAACAGCCTGTGGCAAGAGAATGAAGTGAACAGTATGTAGCGCTTTCTCATTTGGGTGTAGTAAGTGATCAAAGCATGCTTCTTCAGGGTGTGATTCTGGGTCAGGCAGTCCCCAATTTAATCTGGTAGTGCACGCAGGGTATAGTGGTGGGGGAGTGGGGATTCAGGCATCGAATCCTAAAATAATAATTTGGGGTCCCCGCCCATGACAGAATCCTGGGTTGGCATAACAGCCAGTAGGACACGGGTAGGTTAGTTGGAGGCGTGAGGCCAGTGACTGCAGGGCCTGCATCCCCTCACCTCTGCAGGGTCCAGGTAGGGGAGCTGAGTGGATGCAGCCCCCTGCAGGGCCTGTCAGTGGGGCTATCCAATTGCTTCCCCCTGCAGGAGATCAAAACGTGGAGTACAAGGGGACCGTGTGGCACAAAGACTGCTTCACCTGCAGCAACTGCAAGCAAGTCATTGGGACTGGAAGCTTCTTCCCTAAAGGGGAGGACTTCTACTGCGTGACTTGCCATGAGACCAAGTTTGCCAAGCATTGCGTGAAGTGCAACAAGGTATGTTTTCAAGGGAATTCTGCGTGGCCTGTTGTTTCTAGAAGTGTTTGACAGTTTGCAGAGCACTTGCACACACACTATCCCATTCCATCCTCACGACAGCCCTGTGACGTAGGAATTATTATTCTCGTTTTACAGATGAGGAGACGGGGATTAGAAAGCAGCACCACAGCCCAGTCAGGCTGGCGGTGTGCACGCTCACTCTGGTGGCATGGGTGGCTCGCACCGTGCTCTGTACCGGGCCGCCCTGGCTCTGGAAGCCTGCCTCTGCCACTTGGTGGCTGTGTAACCTCTCAAAGGGGTTCACCTGCTCTGAGCCTTTGTGTCTTCATTTTGTAAAGAGGGGATAATAATAGCCCCTGCCTCCCACGGCCGTTGTGGAGATTAAATGAGATATTGTATACCAAAGCGCCCAGCACAGTGCCTGGCACGTATTAGGCATTCAACAAAATGGTTGTTGAATCTGAATCCGGTGCTACACTCCCTGGTCTAGGCCATCACATCTGGAGGAATCACTTACCAGGATCAGCCCTGGCATGCCGAGTGCTTTGTGTGTGTTACCTGCTCTAAGAAGCTGGCTGGGCAGCGTTTCACCGCTGTGGAGGACCAGTATTACTGCGTGGATTGCTACAAGAACTTTGTGGCCAAGAAGTGTGCTGGATGCAAGAACCCCATCACTGGTAGGCTAAAGAGTCCTTGCTAAGTCTGCCAGGCTAGGTTTTGCTCATGGTAACCATCTCTCATTTTCCTATGTCGTCGGTTTCATCCACAAAGGCCCCCAAAGAATGCCCTTCTGCCCCTGCCATTGTGGTCCCAAAGGCCCCCCGATTTTGGATTCACCCCCAGGCCAGGTTAGCCTTTGCAATACAGAACACTTCCTGACTACTGCTGACTAACTAACAATGCGGGGAGTTCACAAGCCTGAGACCACAGCCACCACTGTGCAGGGGGATTCTGAAGGGGGGGCGGGGATGGGA